GCAGCAACATGAACAGCGTACGTTCACATATCTTATAAATGCCTAAGTATTATTCAACTTGAATGGTTGAGTGAAGTATGCGTGTATTGATCTGCATACTTGTTTTTGTAGTTGTAAGTTTTTACTTATGCTTGCGGCAATTGTTGTTTGTAAGAAAAGAGAATCAAACAAAGAAAACAATTAAAGAAAAAGGCTTTTATGCCGCGCACATGAATTAAAGGTATTATAAAAATTTGGATTTAATTAAAAATAAAAGTTATTGATGACCTTTGACCCAACTGGCCATTATGATTTTTTACTGTTTTTTTTTTGGTCAAACGGCTGAGAAAAACTTTTCTCCTGATTTTTTTTTAAATTTTGTACTTTATATATTTATATATATATTATATTTATAATATATTATTGTACATTATATAGCGTATTATCCATATAGCGTTTAGCTTTTAAGTGTTTTTAAATTTTACTCAATTTAAACATGTCGAAGCTATTTGACATTGGTTTTCAATTTATACTTAAATAGAAACATGAGCTCTTGAATAATAAAACACAAAAACAAAATTGAAATATTGAAACAAGGCCTTTTCTTTAAAAATGGAAGCCACAGTAACAAAGTTTTTGAATAATAAAATTGGAATTATTGCAAAATAGTTATATATTCAAATATTATTATTAGAAAACTTTAGGTATTATCATTTGGAATTCCATTTGACATACCTAAATAATGATATTAGCGTACTATTGTTAAACAAGCCCTTTTTAATTTCTAAAAATATAATCCGAATTTAAAAAAATTGAATTTTAACACATTTGATGCATTTTCGGAGATTTTAAATGGAATTAAAAATGATAAAATTCACCTTCACTATTTATAATAGTTTATTTATTTCTCAATAATTTCTTACTTTTTACTAATTTAAATAATATATAGTATTAAACATAAATTTTCAAATTTTTGTAAAAAAAAAAATCAACATAGTATTGTGAAAGTGTTATGTAAAATTCAATATCACTAATTTAGTTACTCATACGCAACACGGCGGTAGACAGAATTTCATTATATAAGAAAGAAAGTATAGTCTCCAATTTTTTGCATTCCTTGCTTATTGTTAGGTAGAACTACCACATTTAAATACTTTAAACAATTTTTATATTGAAATTTTACAGGATTCATCATTCATTAATGAATTATTGTATTAATAATACATATATGTACACATAAAAGGAAAAAAATTTCTTAACACTACTAAGGAATGGTAATGACAAAAATGCATGAATATAATCTAATATAACATAATATCTTACCATTGCAGTTTTGTAGTACTTATTGATATTGTTTAAGCTATTTTTAATCGAGAAACTATGTATGCTTTTAGTATTAGTGAGATTTATTTAAATAGTTTGAATTTCAACGAATTATCGGAGGTTATAATTACATATGACGTAAACAATAAATCACAATAACTTTTAATTGAAAAACAAATATTTTTTATGCAAAAGACTCGCTTTGTTTAGCGACAACAAGATAATCTCTTTGTACATATGTTTTCATACCACTTGATAAAGAAGCATCCTATGATTAAGTATAAGTGTTGTACTTGTGTATGCCCTTAAATGCTATTCCAACTAAAACAGCCATAAACAAACAAAGCATAAAAAAGTAATGAAAGAAGCTGTGATAATATTCGCTCACTCATTTTACATATTTTTTGTTTTCGTTTTTGTGTATTATTTAGTAAGGCACACACTTGCACACTTGCACAATTCCATACTCCCACACTCGCTCACTCAAGCACTCAAACACTTTCCCACTCACGCAATCGCTTATCTAGCATCTCATTCTCGATATGGAGGAATTTTACTTTAAATTATATTCAGTTTTTTATTGCAACTTTTTTCTAATTCTTTGCAAATATATAAACACTAAAGTTGCCACTTATAAAGATAAAAATTGAGACTTAATAGCGTCTAAGAATGGTCCTTATACTATAATGTATCTTAAAATAATAATTTCTTTTATTCTATATACTTCCGAATTTTTTTTACTCAAATTAATATTAACTATTTATGTATTTTAAAACCACAGTAGTACGGTAGAGAATATGTTTAAATTTGAAATTAATAATTTTAATAAGCGTAGAGTCATTACGAAATCTAATTAGTTTGGTCCACCGCTGGCTTTGACGTTCCCAATAAACTGATTGCGAGCGCGTAAGGACGAACTTCAAATACCCTCGAAACTTTACGAGCAAATATTTCAACAAATCGAGAAACGTTCAGTTTTTCTATGTTCAACATACAAAAGCATTAACCGCACAACAACAATACCAAGCATAACATAAAAACATACAACTACATGAAGATAATATAGTGTTCCTAGATATCTAACTTTATCACAAACATGCCTCCCAATATTAATTTCACGAATGAACAACCCTTGAACAACCGTTATTATTGTAATAACTCGAGATGGAGCATGTCCCCAGCATCTTTTTGAGTGTTGTCTGCTGCTTGCTACATTTGAGACTTATTGAACATGAGAGTATGTAAAACACGAGCGAGTTTTCTTGTTTATGTACGAGTATGTGAGTGTATACAATGTGCGCTTTGTAGACACACATACAAGTACAATGCGCCGCTTTTTCTCTTTCGCTTTGTATTATCTTTTAAGCTTTCTTCTCTAAAAAAGCTTTTTTAACGCAAAGTTCATTCCTTTATTGGTATTTTTGCATTTATTATCGCAAATTCTATACATATAATTGACTGGTTTTTCGCCGCTGAAGTACATATTTCCCAAACGTGTATTTTGGTAAAAAAACTAATTTGAGAGATTTGTACAAGAGCCTCAAGCTTCCAAATGTCCAAAATAGAAAAGTACATATTCTTTCTCGTTCCCAGCTATGCGCAAGTACTTTAATTGAGTGCATTTTGTTGTCATAATTCTAAAGAGCAGCTTTAGAATGCAAAAATAAATTATTTCCATCAACAACGCACAGTCTGATTTCTTACAATACTTTATTAGTATTGTAAAACTCGATTAGGTCCGGTGGTTCTATTTTAATGTTCAAATTTAAGTTTTGACCCTTTCAGGTTATCAGAACTCAGTGTGACATATAAATATGGGTTTTTGAAATATTCAAACTGATATTCTTCAATATATTCTGTTTTAATTACTTATTACATTTTCTACACATATTTTTAGTAGGATTCGTCAAGACATTCACAAAAGGTCTTTATTTGTGATATTACTTCTTTATTGGAGCTATGTAATTCTTAAAATTTGGCTTTCTTCTTTTCCATTTAGGTCATCTTTATGAGATATCATTTTTTTCCAGTAAATTCTTGAAATTGAAATACAAAGAAAGAAAGAAAATAAAAATAAAATATGAAACGATTGCTTTCTATCAATCTAATCTAATCCAATCTATGCTAATCTTATCTAATCTAATCTAATCTAATCTAATCTAATCTAATCTAATCTAATCTAATCTAATCTAATCTAATCTAATCTAATCTAATCTAATCTAATCTAATCTAATCTAATCTAATCTAATCTAATCTAATCTAATCTAATCTAATCTAATCTAATCTAATCTAATCTAATCTAATCTAATCTAATCTAATCTAATCAATCTAATCTAATCTAATCTAATCTAATCTAATCTAATCTAATCTAATCTAATCTAATCTAATCTAATCTAATCTAATCTAATCTAATCTAATCTAATCTAATCTAATCTAATCTAATCTAATCTAATCAAATCTAATCTAATCTAATCTAATCTAATCTAATCTAATCTAATCTAATCTAATCTAATCTAATCTAATCTAATCTAATCTAATCTAATCTAATCTAATCTAATCTAATCTAATCTAATCTAATCTAATCTAATCTAATCTAATCTAATCTAATCTAATCTAATCTAATCTAATCTAATCTAATCTAATCTAATCTAATCTAATCTAATCTAATCTAATCTAATCTAATCTAATCTAATCTAATCTATTTATACAAATTATTCTATACGAAAATATTGAATAATGCCTAATTAACAATAAAAATTAATGCATTATTCACAAAACAATAAATTTGTCCACGCTGAGCTGACATAATTATTAGTCAAAATACTAAACCCTTTCTTCAGGACAATGACCAACAAGAAAAGCTGATGATAATTCAGAATTGCACTTTTCGCTGGTGAAAGGCTGGTGGTACTGCGGGCCTAAATGAAATGTAAACACACGTAACCAAATATTAGTTGCTAATAATAATAGAAGAATTAATAAAAATATTGAATAATTGTAAACATAATCACTGTATTTAATAAAAAGAAATCAATATCAGTGGAAAAAGTTTATAAGATTCTTTTAATGCATTTTATTTTAATTAAAAGAACCTAAAAGGTTATGCTTATATTGTGGCAAGATTTTTACGAAACGATGCATCTACCCCTTGAAGTGATCTCATTCTTGCAGCAATGTTCTTGCAGACACACTGCTGTAATTGGGACATAGTACTCATATTTTTCGAAGCATTCAAGTTTTTGTTTTTTGGATAGAAGAACATATTTGTGATATGATCATATGTTGTATGGTGTTATTCGTGGTTTTTAAAATTTTCAAGATTTTGGAAATCAATGTAATAACCAATGTTTTCTATATTACCCGGAAATTAATTGTTATATTTCTGTGCATCTTCCATTTAGTTATTACTTCACTTTTAATTAAGAGTACATAATATTTTCAAAGAAAATAAAAAGAAAAAAAGTTTTTTAGCAAATAAAACCTATACATAATTCGAGAAGTGCTACCTAGTGTAATAGTTACACATCGTTCAAAAAAAAATAATGCAGGAAAAAAATATATGTGTAAAGTATAAATTATTATTGTTTCATTAAAATAACTCGTTACCCCCACTAAATGTAACATGATAAATTTTTAAAAATAATTTTACACAACATGAATAACAATTTTTTACAAAACTTAAATTTAATTACATTGTATTTTGGTAAAATATTCTAAATTTATTTTATGTTTTAAGAACATACTTTATGTGTACGTTCTATGTACAAAAATTACAAAAATATTAATTTGCATATCTGATATAGTGCAGTAAGGGCCAAGCCGTAGATTACGAATAATGTGCAGTAGTGTAACACTTTAAGGCTGTAGGAAATAAATTTAATTTAAATATAGTTAGTTAATGAGTCAAGGATATATATACATATATTTATATATAAATACCGTTCATAGCGTTTCACTGACTCAGGTATGCTAGCAGGATCGTCCTTTACCACATAGTGTCGTAAGCCAACCAAACTAACTCGAAACAGTTCAATCCAATTCAACTTGCGCATATCAAAGTCAAAAAGCAGCCTGTCCTTTTCATCCAATTTTTCTGACAGCTTGCGTATATTGTGATTATCAAATTTAAAATCATTTGCACTAAAGTATTCCATCACAGAACAGAATTTATGTATTTTCCGATAAATTTTTAACATTCTTAATACAGGGAACATAAAATAATTAAATAAAAATTACATATTTAAAAACGTAAAACTCACTGGGGTTTCTTTCCGACAACTATCCTTGACAAGTCCATTAACATAGCCGGAATTGTGTGGTATAAAAATGATAACAAATGGTACTGCCATACTGATGGCACAATAGTAAATCTTGGATACCAAATGGATTTCCTCAGGGGAATATCACAACCATATTTAAAACCGAATTGCATGTATTCTTTCCATGTGACTATATTGTCGGCATCAGGTACGTAATTATAAATCGGAGGCGTATCATAGCTATGTATACATAAAAATATTAAATAATGATATATTTTAATATAACCTAATTGACTTGAATTGGATACATACGAGTTTCGGGCAATATCCCAAGCACTCGCCAGTAATGCGTTTACACATAAATCAACTGGTACAATATGAGCTTTATTGTCAACTTTTTGATAAGAAAAGCAATTGCGTTAATTTTTTTTAAATTTTTACTCTAATTTTAATACCTTTTCCACTAAAAACTCGCAATACACCGGAACCAATTCCTACAATAATACCACATGGACCATACATATTGTCTATCCAACCAGCAACGGGCTCCTTGTATGTAGTGATCACTAAAAAATATAAAGAACATAATTAATTCAGTCGGTTTCAATATTAAATTCAATAAAATTTACCTATTCCAGGTCGGAACACAGTCACCGGCAGGTTAGCAGCATATTCTTGTACAATATTCTCAGCTAGAACCTTCGTAAATGTATAAGTATTTGGATAATCTTGAATTATAGATGGTGTTAACATATTCAATGTATTCTCATCAATACATTCGCCCAATTTGCAAGCATTCTCACCGGTTAAGTAACTATTATAGAATTTTTCTTGAATATACCTATGATTGCAGTGAGCAAAGGCCGTGGAAACATGTACAAATGCCTTCCATTCAAAGTTAGAATTTTAATTTATAATAAAACAATTACATGAAAGAAAAAACAGCAATAATAATTAAAATGCTATACACGAATTCACCACAAAAATGAATTAATTGAATTGCTTCAAGCCAAGTGGCTTACCTTCAAGTGCACGATTTCTTTACCCAGTTTGAGTATTTCTTTGGTTCCACTGACGTTGATAGCAATTGCCATTTTTAGTTTCTCATCAAATCGAACAGTTGCAGCACCGTGTATAACAATATTGACATTATCTTTTATTATATCACGTTCATTTTCATCAATTCCTAGTGAAGGCAGAGAACAGTCGCCACTGATAATAGTTACTTTCTCACGATAATTTGGATTACATTTCTTAAGTTTCTCAAACACCTAAAATGAGATATTCGATGTGTATATTTTAAGGATATAGAATTTTAATAAAGAAAAATAACATTTATACTTCTTTTTTAATAATTTCATTACATATTGTAAATAAATTAAAACCTCGCCCATATAATTCTTACCTAACAAAGGTTTATGAGAAGAGCGGATTGAGTATGTCAGATTGTTTTTGATAGAATGAAGGAAACATCAGAGCCTGTATACATATATATATATATATATGTTTCATAGCTTATTACTAGTGGAAATCTAATTGTTATATAGTGTATAGTACATTCATCACTGGTCATCAGATCGTTTCATAATAGACATATAGATCGATATACTTTGAAATATGATCAATTAGAAACAGTCTCGTCAAGTTGAACGATTGTATAACAAAACAGATTTCGAAAACAATGCAGAAACGGGCATTCTTCCCACCAGTACAAATGTATATATATGTATAGCTCAATCAATTTACAGTCGGCTTTCTGGACAGAAGTCTTAAAGTTAATATTTTTTCGACTGTAAATGGATTCACAACATTCATTTTTAATCTATGTGTAGTCTAGGGACTTTTATTTAAGTTTAAATAAAACATGTTATCTTTACTTACAGGGTCATTGAACAAATCATCAATGCGTGCAAATGCGTCTTTACCCTTTTTAGTACGAATAAGTAAATATATATTCGCAACGTCAGTAACGCGTAACAGTTTTTCTATAATAACTATTTGAGATTTAATAATTAAACATTTTAATAAACACATTTAATTAATTTTAAACAATACTCACTTTTGCCAAAAAAGCCCGTGCCACCGGTTAGAAAAACGCCTTTGTCTTTGTAAAATTTCTGCATCGGTGACTCTTCTATACAATAAAAACAAAAACAAAAACAAACATTGTTAATTTATACAGTAAATTCAACTAAATGCAAAAAATGTATATATCATAATTACATTGGAAGTTTATTATAATTTTTTTGTATTTTGCAAAGTAATTGTGACAGCAAAGCAAAATTTTAAGCGAGAAACTCAAATGCTTTCGTAAGTTAACACAAGGGAGACTCTGAAGTGCACTTATTGCATCTTATTGCCGAGCTCCTTCAGATTGGCACTGCACTTTGCACTTTTATTTTTGCTAAGAGCGACTCAAGCTTGATTTCTATATTTCGAAATAAATTCAATGAAATGGGGTGATAGTTCGTAAATATTTGTACACGACAATAGCTTTGAATTAGTAAGCACATAATTGCCAATCGACGTAAATGTACTTGGTACTTTAATAGACGGAATGCCCAGACTCTGTATAGGCTTTTCAAATTTCTGAACAGTGCTACTTAATAGATAATCAACTGGCATGTGCAATATAGGGTGTGATCCACTCATGAATCTGAATTTGTTTGCATGCATAATTATGCAAACAATAAGATTGGTTCTATTTCCCTCCCTGTAATTAGTAGTCTACGTAATGGTTGATAGTTAATGATTAAAAAGATATTACGCCTGTATTTAAAATTATGTTTATGTAAGGAATCTGCCATTAAGTTAACCTTCTACAATATGCAAGCAAATACTTTCAAATAATTAATACATAATTTTTAACTTTTTTAAAGCTTAACAAATTAAATTGCACAATTCAATAATTACAAAAAAAAAAAAACTGTCTAAATGTTTCTCATATACAAATGGTAAGTTTTGTTCAATTTTATACCGATGAGAATATTGCTACATTCCAAGTTGCAATAGATTTTTTATAGAAACACATGCCCCTTTTTTCAAGAATTCAGTATGATGATTTTACAAGCTGTGAACAAGCTATATTTGGGAATTCCTACAGAGCAAATTTTCTTCGTTATTATATGACTTAAATACTTTATTGGTAGTTATAAGATTTATATTTTATAAAAAAATAAAAGTGTAGTGTTCGGGCTTAATGGACTTGAGAAAGTGAAAATGAAAATGTACTTACGCTCCAATTCAGTTATTAGATGATTGTCCATTTCATAATAGTTTTTAAAATGATTTTTCATTTCTTCGATTATCTAAAAATAAAAGCAAAAGCTTTGTTTAGAAGGATTTTTTTTGTAAACTAAAAAAATTAAATATAATTGTGAGCATCCAGCACTTGACCAAACAAATTAATGAAACCATCAATTGGAGAAATAAATTGATAAAAATGTGTTTAAAATTAATTAAGAGGAAAGATAATGCATATATCTCTTTAGTAATCTAACAAAAACTGAGAGACTTTGACTGAGATGTTCAGATACAACCAACGTACAGGATAGTTATAACACCGTCAAATAATCAATTGTTGTGATTTAAATAATGGCAACATCTTATTCGCCCGATAAAAGCTGATTATATCACTCATTAACTTGACAAGAATATATAAAGATAAGGTTATTATTGATAAATTCATAGTGGTTTTAGTAACTCTACTTTTATCATTATTAAACAATCGAAAAGAGTGGTAAAAATATCGGTTAAGCAATGCAATTCACAATGCTTTGTTGAAATCAACTGTTTTGGTTTACTGAGTTTACCCCATAAACATCGATAATAAAAAATACTTTATACGGACGAATTTGTTGCTAACTACTGAAAGCAAAATAAAACTTAATAAAAACCATTTCATGTGATAAAATAATGAAATTCAGGGAAAGAACGTTGGGTCCTTAAGCACACAACGATTATTTAACGATATAAATTTGTGTTCGATATGGGCAACGTATTTGCATATACTAAACTAAAAACAACGATGCGTTGATGATTTCTATCACTATTAATGCAACAAAAAGGATTATTTCATGCAATATATAGTAGTTAATGAATCACGGCAGTCAAGTGATAGACAGCAAATGGCGAATTTTGTCCAAAACAGAAGAAAATATATATATCATCTTGTACAGCCTTCATATTTTTAGCCTACATATTAGGTGTAGTAAAAAGAAATCCATTATTTTTGCATGAAAGACTGAAGACTTATTTACCCTTGTTAGAATGACCCGATATAGGTCAAATATGCACTATTTTGTTTAATAAATTCTTGACTATTCCGATATGGTTCGGCAACTGAATCGTTCGGTGATGCATCACTGTTCCTTCAATAATTACACTATATATAGAAGTAAACAATGTTGAAGTTAAAGATGGCAAGTTTTAAAGTTTTATTTGAAAATTCTGTAAGCCAAACCATAAAATATTCATTCATTCAATGAACATTAAATAAAAATTAAGAGGTTCTAGTATTTCATTACACCTAGTATTATTTTAAGACTTGGGTTTCAAAATGAATCATTAATTCTTATATATTAGTTGCAGTAGACGCTGTTAATGATAATGACTTAGGTTCATAGCAGAATTTCTTTAGTTGTGTTCACCTGATAGGATGATCTCATCAACTAGCACGGGAACCAATAATTACACGGTGATTATAGAACCAGTCTGTTTCACGTACTGGTTCTATAATCAGTACGTTATACTGATTATATAATAATATATAATTGTGGAATGTATGTGCAAAAAAAGCGTGGAACATAATGAAAAATGTCGTTGGCAATGCAGCAATCACAAAAACAAATAAAAAAAGAAGCTACAACTAAAAGAGTAAACTAAGAGCTGATATATGTATATAAAGCTTTGCCAATCAATTACATTTGTGCTCTGCATCGTTTCAGCAAGGAAAATCCAGGTTAATCTTTGCTAAAATGGAACTTTTGTTAAATACAATTTAATGCAACTAATAACGATCAAAGAGAATTATTCAACTGATAAATTTCTACATTTTATAATTGTAATGACAACTACATATACCTATAAAGGAAATGCTTTTAAATTTTTTTTTTTGTGACACTTTTTAAAATGCTCTGCAATCAAAATTCGGTAAACTATTTTAAATAATTGAATTAAATATTATGATGTTTGATAAACTTTTAGCATTAAATTTTTATACCCACTAACGTCGCGAGGTACTTTTTTTATTGTCAGAAATGAAACTGAAAGCTGCCAAACAATTTCAACATAAACAAGAAAAACGAAGAGCACAATAAGCATAACAGTAACAATACTAAAAACGAATAACACATACCATAATTAAACGGAAAGCAAACATATAAAAAATACTGTGCGAAACACAAAAACAAATAAAAACAAATCAAAACAAAGTTGCACTACTACAAGCATGTGACCAGACGCATAAGGCGGCTAATTGAATTTTTTGAAATCACCAACAATGGCGCGAAAATTACAACCAAGAACAACAACAGTGGTATTGCAACAGCGCTGCACCTGTACTACGCTACTACCTGTACTACAAAAACTCTTAGGCGAACACAACAGTGCAATGTGCATATGTAGCCACAAATGTAAAAAGATATTTTGCGCTACTGTTCCACATTATTTTTTGTTATGTTATGTTATTTATTATTTTATTTATGCTCTATGTGAAAGACACAGAGCATTAAACGTTGTTAGTAACTGGAAGTGCTTTGACCGTTAGTAAAAAGCAGTTACAGAAATTGTCTAAAACAGCGCCGCACACAAAATGTCTTCAGATATTTTTAGCCTTATTTTTCAGTGAAATTGAAGTATTAATTTGGTTCGACTGAATTCAATCTGTATCCAACAATTTGAAAAATACTATTGTGAAAAAAGGGATATGTGATTCGTTGTAATGTTCGAAAAGTTATTACAGAGATGTGGGAGTTCAAACACAAACACACCATACACTCGTTCATTATTGACTTACATAATGATAAATAAACGAATCGACGTGACAAACCTAGCAGACCTAACAGACGTAACAGAATGGACTTTTTTGAATCCAGAATGATCCAAAGTTTGTGAACGCTATATTCTAATACTCAGTGCCTGCGTTAAAGCTTAAATTTATTGTATTAAATTGTATTGGCATTAATATTAAAGAATAATCACATTTGCAGAACCCACAAGAATTGTAAGATTGTAGCAATTATTTGCGAAATTGACATTGCATATTTCTACAACATATTGTTGTAACATATTATTATATGTTATTATTGTAACATAATATGTCATAATAAAAATTGAAGGCCAAAATTATATAACAAACATTATTTATGATAATAAATTAACGATTAATGATCAGGAATTAGCAGGCGTGCAGAAAATAGAGGGTAATAGTGCTCATTTCGCCTCATTTTGTTGAAATCCAATTGAATTTGGGACGTTTATTTATTTTTGTGAATTGTTATTCGTAAGAGCAGTATTATTTAATGTCGTGATGTTTCAGATTATATGGAAAAATCCATCAGAATTTTGAACTTTATTTTATTTTGAATTATATTGCCTACATGATTTTAAGATTAAAAACGATAATGAATATAGAATTAAGTAATTATAATAATAAATAATCATTACTTCGGTCACTCCGAAGTACGTCGACAATAATAAATCTCTTACTATTTCTTTTACTATCTCTATCTATACTTATGGAAATGCCTTATTATCTCCAAGAGACAGCAGAAAAAAACATTCCAAAGCTATGAGCGATTTATCGTGCTCCTTATTCGGAAATTTAAACGAATAAGTCAAACGGTCAAAAGTTATTTTCAAAGTAAAATTTAAACAAAATTATAATTTCACAAATTTGTTCATTTCGGCAAAGAAACATTTTAGAAATATACAAAAACTAGATGACCCCGCGAACTTCGTACCGCGTAACAGTCAATAAATGTTATATTAAATTACAGGTAAACTAAATTTAGAAATTTATTAACGTAATAAAATGAATACAAAAAATTTATTGTATTCAATAGTTTATTAGGATATTGATATATAATTAATTATTTTAATGGTCTGTCAGCAAGAACCTATGGGTTGCACTCCGATTGATTCTCTTCAATAAAGAACCTTGTGATATACGATATTTTTTTTTTATCAGGCGCAAGAACAAATAAAGCAGATGGTTTGCCTACTCGTGAACATGCCACGTACAATTGACCATGAGAAAAGCATGCATTTTCTAGATTCAGACCACAAACACTTAAGGATTGGCCTTGTGATTTATTTATAGTCATAGCGAATGCAAGCCGAATAGGAAATTGAATTCGTTTAAACTCAAAGGGCATATCGATTGAGATCATTGGAATCCTCGGAATGAGAACTTCATCACTTTTGAATTTTCCTTTGAGTATCATTGCGTGAATCACATTGGCCATCAGTTTTGTTATCACTAAACGCGTTCCATTGCATAGTTTTGGTTGGTTTAGATTTCGAAGCATAATGACTACCGAACCAATCTTTAATTGTAAATTGAGTGGTGGTAAGCCAGGCACATTCAAGGAGTTCAAAAATTCAGTTGGATAGTTGGTAGCTTCTTCTTCGTTTGTTACACAGTCAATAGATTCAATAGCAGTCGGAATATCGCGCGAACAGTGGCCAAAATTAATGACATGAGGAATGTTTTACCAGTTCCACCGGGGGCGTCCAGGAAAAAAGCCACCATTTTCTTTATCAATCGCTTTCATTAATGTTAAACTTCCTTCTGTTGCGGATTCAATAGAGGTACATTAGTTTGAACTAATTCATGTCGATCATATTCACGTTCACGTTCCAATTCTCGATTAAATGCAACAATATTTATTTATTATATTTGAATTTATCATATTTGAAATTTCAAATATTTCAAATATTTGAAAAAAAAATTTAAAAAGAAATCAATATCACTCAAACTGTCGAACTGTCAACAGTTTGAAACAGCACTTACAAATTTATTATTTTTGCTAAAATTAGTGGATTTTTCCAATATTTTATAATGTATTCTGCTATTCGGAGCGGAGACGATTCCAACAAATCAAAGATAATTAAAATCGGTTCAGCCGTTCATGAGTTATGAGTGGTGTAACTAACACAACTTTCTTTTATGTATATAGATTAGAAAAATATTGTTTTGTTGTATATTCGTACCTACATTACTAAAATAGAACAAGTTTTGAAATTCAGTGATAAATCGAAAACTATTGGGTAAACCAATCACCCTGATGGGAAAGCATACGGT